AAAAAAAAGACTAAAAAACTGAAACTTTTTAGCACTAAGAATGCAAAAAATGTAGAAAAGCAACTGTCAAAAAATAATGCAGAGGGCGTCAGCTTAGCCAGCTCATGGAGAAGTGCGATTTTGGCTAAGTAATACCATATGTCCTATCTTTGTTCAAAGTAAAGTACGCCTCCTTTTTCATGCATTCCGTTAGAAAGGCATTTTTGGAAACGAAACTAAGATATCCAATTTTAATGAAAAGGTAGCGATGTTATCTTGCGTTTTCCGAAACAAATACGAAAGCAGCTTGAGCTAAAAAGTAGGAACAAAATACGATTTGAAAATTCATTTCAAGTTTGCGGCTCCTTTAAAGAATATAGCTCCAAGAACTGTCATTACTAGCTTGCCTTTCATATTGGAACGTCATTTGTACAAAATGTATGAACACCTACGCACTCACCCACATGATCATGTCATACATTGACACTTTTTGAATAATGAAGAGAAAAAGGTTAGAACACAATCCCACACGAAATATATGAAATGAAAACTCAGTCCTGCCATAATGCGTTTGTTTTTTTTTTTTACTTTTTTTTTCAGAAAAACGTATAAAAATGACTGTGTTTGAAGTATGACGCCAGTGAGTGTCACCGATTGCAGTGGCGGGTGACTGCTTCCAACAGCTGGCGTCACAGAACTGAGCGGTAAAATGAATGTGTCAACGTGCACAACGGCTTGCATTTGCGTCAGTTCACCGGTTCGCGCATTTATTACAACTCCCATATGATGGACAAATACATCGATTGCCGACTGAAATACTACTTCATATTTTTCCAAAATTAAGTTAAAATGCATCTGCTGAAGAATTTTATTACAATATCATCAGTGGTGTCGAATTTTATTACAGTTATTTACAGCGGTTACTTCGCACTTCAACAATTCCTCACACCTAAATATTGCTGATCGTTTAACTACCTTGTCTCGTTAAGATTTCATCTACTGAATATCGTTGGTGGGTTAACAGACCTGTTTTTAGACGTGTCAGTTAACTGGGTATTGAAGTTAAAAAGTAGAACCACAAAGAATCTTGCATGTGCAGTTTCTGTCTGGATGGGAGCGTCAAAGAGCGAATGAGCAGATACCATTCCTAGCTCAGCGAAAATGTGCTGATTTGTTGTGTAATTCTTCTCTGACTGATTTTCTATGATGTTCTTGTGATTCAGCTGATTTTTTGTGATGTTCTTTGCCGCGCTAGCGTTTAGCAGGTAAAGGATTTCTTTGATCCCTGCTGCTTTGAAGTTGCTAGAAATGAGAAATTAACCGGCTTGGAAGCAAAAAAAAAGGTATGGGGTTGCTGCCAATTTTGCTGTTGCTGCTGCTTCATACTGGTGAAATCAATTGCACCGGATGATTGACTGATTGGCACAAATTCCGTGGACATGTACTTCACTGATGCACTGAAAAAATCAACTCAGCCTGCTCAACTGCTTAAATAATCAGTTGCTGAGATTAAGGTTAACAAAACTAAGCTTACAAAAAGATAAGATAACTCTCGGGCGCGGACAATCTTCGATTTACCTCGCATACGCACTTCAAATATAAAAATAATAATTTGACGGTGAATGGTAATTCGAAAATTGCTTTGTGAAGATTTAACTGCTCAAGACGTTATTCCAAATCAATTTTTACAGATGGAGTTTGAAAACAGACAAGCTGACTCTATAAATATTTCGTTTTGGGGTTTTTATGCATTTTAGCGTCATGTACAAATGCAAAAACACATACGACAGTAAGAGTTTGCTCACGTATGTGTGTGCATGCGTGTGTGCTAGGAGGCGAGTGAACTTTGTCACCCACTTTCAACTCAGCAGCGAAGAAAGCCGGAGAAGCTGAAATTCTAGGAGCAAATTTCCATCCCCTGCGCCACTTCAACTCTTTAAAATCCTGGATCTCAGAAACGGATGCATGAAAAACCCAAGCTGCAACGTATTAGGCTTGCCGGTACGAGCACGCGTTTTCGCATTAAATTTGCAGCAGTCAGTTCGTTGCAGGAACGACCCGTGCGCTGTGGTTTAACACGTAAACTTGTGATGTCTGTCTTTTGGCCTTTTCCAGAATGGAGGGGTAAGGGGGTCGGCTGGGGTGGAAGTGTTGTATTATGCGCCGTGTGAACCTCGAGTGCATGATTATCAATTTTGTATGAAGTCCGGTTGCCTTTCCCTGTGAGCTTTCTTTCGTCGGAAAAATGCAAATTTGATAACTCACACGTTGTAGAACCCAGGCTGAAACGCACCAGGTGAGCCGATGCGATCATGCGTTTTCGCACAAAACTTGAATTAGGTTAACTGTATGAATGGTTGTTCCTTCACACCTATCTTG